CTAGGTACTGCCATTGACGCTAGGTACTGCCATTGACGCTAGGTACTGCCATTGACGCTAGGTACTGCCATTGACGCTAGGTACTGCCATTGACGCTAGGTACTGCCATTGACGCTAGGTACTGCCATTGACGCTAGGTACTGCCATTGACGCTAGGTACTGCCATTGACGCTAGGTACTGCCATTGACGCTAGGTACTGCCATTGACGCTAGGTACTGCCATTGACGCTAGGTACTGCCATTGACGCTAGGTACTGCCATTGACGCTAGGTACTGCCATTGACGCTAGGCAATGCCAAGACCAAAACAATCACCAACTTCAAGTTCTGGTAGCACTGGCAGTACAGGAATCATGAACCAGAACTACTTGTAGGTAGTGAGATCTGATCACGCCTTCCTTAAATGTAAAAGGAGATCTATTATCTAGGCGTCTTCGCTCGCTACGGGTTATTCTTATGGAACTTGCACCCGGATTGATGCGACCATAATCCGCAGACTCCGCCAGCGCAAGATTATCACGTTCCGAACGATTTCTACTTAACGCATCAATGACCACCCTTGTTGCGCGTCAACCCTTACAGACGCTGTCGATGTCGTCTTCTCAACGACCGCCGCGTCGATTGAGCGCTCGGTTACAGGAGAAGGAGGATGCGCAACCCCACACAAACGGGTACCACCTGACCACCAAGAATCAGACCCTCAGCTCTGCAAACGATGGAGTACCGATGCGAAGATCCCAAGACAAACCTCCGGCAGCCAAGAAAAGAAGGATTGGTTAGTCTGCGCTGCGCCTCTTCCGAACTGGACGGCGATGGAGCTGACGGCGACTTTATAGATTATGATGAAGAAGACGATGGCTTCATGTTCACCCGCGCAAAAGCACACAAACCTAGGCCCTCCACCTCGAAGATTGTATCGATCCCCGAGCAACATGTACCCGAAATGGAGAATAGTCGGCCCGCGAGGGTGGACGATGAGGTTCAAGCACACCAGGAGCAGGAATCCAAAGGGCCTTCGAAGAAGCGAAGGAACAAGATGTCCTTTTCCACCCCAAATGTCAGAGTGGAGAAGCCCGTGCGGCGATCGAAGAGGCTATCAGATGATGTCGAAGGAAAGGATGGGAGTCCGCAGCAGAAGATCAGTAGAAGGGATGAGGCACAGCAGGAGACGAAGAGACCCCCAGAACGGCAAAAGACACCTCTCGCACCACAAGCTCAGGTTGAGGAAGACCACTCATCGACCAAGATAGCGCTACCTTTTGCAGATACTCCTGTCATACGAAAAAACAAGGCCATGCGAGAAAGGAAAAGTGGAAAAGGTGAACGAAGGAGCAGTCTCGGTCTTAGGGGCCGGCGAGCGAGCTCCCTTATAGATACTGGTAATTCCAACGGTGAGCATTGCAAAGCCCGTTGCTTGGATGTTTAGACGTGCTGATAGCCAATTTAGCTCTTCCACACAGCGAGGTAGAAGTGGCCGACTTTTACAAGCATATCGAAAGTGAAGGTCTTCCTGAGCCACGGAGAATGCGCCAACTTCTGACCTGGTGTGCGACAAGAGCAATGGGTAACCAATCGGGGGTCCCACCACACGCACATCCTGAATATGAGGACCAGAGTGCGCATCTCGCAGGTAAGCGCAGCTTACTATAACTGCTAGAAGTCATCCTAACCGCCGAAATAGCCCGTGTGATACAGGAGGAGTTGCTCAAAGACTTTGCCAATCGATCAGAAATGTCCGATTGGTTTGGCAGAGAAGAGGCGCAGAAGCCTGAAGAAACATTACCCCTAAGACCAAATCCAAAGAATGCGCAAAATACGATAAAGATTGAAGAGCTGGAAGCACAAATAAGAAGGTACAGTCGATCTGATGTGGATGTTTCCGACTTCATGACTGATACAAACCCCCAGGCTGAAATCCGAACGAAAGTCTCTTGAAGCCCTCTTGCGACCTCCTTCGATCCCGAGTGTACCTCGAGATAATCCTCGATCGTCATCGCATGTCAACCCTCCTACGCTCCATAACTCCCTCCTTTCACACTCAGATATTTCCATCCTTGAAACTTTAAACACAAGCTCTGCCTCTACCGCTACCATCTCATCCCGCATCAACAATCTCAGTGCTACAATAGGACCCTCTATAGACGCATTCGCAGATGGTATCCATAAGGTCGCGCAGTATAGAGATGCGGCAGAACGGGTCTCAAGCCGTGTGTTAAGTATATGCGCGCAAAAGCTGGAGGAAAGAGATAAAGAGGGCAGACGGCGTGCTGTTGGAGCAGCGGGAGACGTGTCTGATGATCTGACTGGTGTTCTGAGGAGTTTAAGCAAGATTGAGAGGTGACATTCGTGCCGGCGTTCTTGAATATTGTGCAGCGTCGCTGTATGGGATATACCATGAGCCTGACTGATGGGATGAGCAATGGGTCGTTGGTGCTTCTTAGGCATAACCCTGCGGATGGAGCCTCCCTCGGACAAATCTATCATCCTTCATTTCCGCATGCATCCTTCTCTACGTCTCCTTGTGACTTGTGGCTCAAACTGTCTTTGCATCACGCCCGGGGTTGATACTAAATCACCTCTCAAAATACAAGTGGCGGCAGCCTGCGAAGCACTTCTTGGCGTCTGAACTCACATCCGTCACAGAGCATACGCAGTTGCCTGTCTACAGAGTTTCTGGACACTAACACAACCTCTCGAGCCTACTGACACATCTGTTGGCGCTTCAAGATCCTCCTGGCAATGCCGCGTCAAGGAACTCTTCTTGTCGCGCTGACTTTCTCCCTCTTTCCCAAGGGAAGGGGAAGGGGAAGCTAGTCTCGGGAAACACCCCCCAGTCATGTTGCTGTTTTGGGAAATAGTCACTGCGTCGCAAACTTAACTTGGGGGGAGAAAAATGTCACTACCATTATTTCATTCTTGATGAGTTATGCCTCATGGAACTGGCGCTGTATAGCGTGTTTTGGTAGTCGGGCATATGCCTTTCTTGGGTCATATCAGCCATCAACGACCTGTGCTGTTGAAGCAATGCCTCCTGCTCCATGGCCGCAGAGACGCCCCTTTCTGTCTCGGGCTACATGTTGCAAATTGCATCACGAGGTGCCGCACAGCTGTGTGCTACCTGTGATGGCAGAAATGTGGGCAGGCCTTGATTGGAGCCTTGTGGTGAGAAAGGTTCGGGGCGTGGTTTGTTGAATGAGCGGCGCAGCCTTTTTGGCGTGGGAGGAAGGGGGGAAAGAAGGTGTGCCTGTAACCCATCTCGCGGAATGTGTAACGCGGTGCCGCAAAGAGACACACTCTGTGACAAGGAGATGAGTGAGGCCGCGCGGAAAAGGGCTTGTGGTGAGAAGGAGGTCGAGCGCTGGTTGGTTGGGTAAGCGGCGCAGCAACTCCCTATGGCAAGAGGGGTGTGCGCGTGAGCGGCACCTCTGACTTCTGGTGTGAGAGGCTCAGGAGGATGGGAAGGGGAGATGAGTGTTGGGCGGGAAGAGATAGATATATAACCCTCCCTCGCCGTCTGTTAACAAGCTTGCTTTTGATCAAGAGAACATATCATATCCAGTACGTTATATCAAAACGGAAAGCAAGCAAGCTTTAATCGAGTTTATCCTTCCTACCCACCTTTCATCGCACCACAAGAAGAACCACCCCTACCTTCTCTTGAAACAAAATACTCAAATCCTCAACGTGTCAACACGTTGTATCGGTCCTACATTCCTGCACCATATCATTTCGCACCACAAAGCACTTTAAACAATGGCATTGTCTTTCAAGTTCTGGAGCGGCAAACATAGCCATGCCCACGTGCGTAGACAGGGTGTTCGTGGTTCGCACAAAAGAGGGAGTCTCTGCTGCTTTGGATAGGCAAGTACAGTCTTTGTCTCCTAGGACGAGTTGGCCGGTTGGCTGAGGAGGGAGAGCCGTAGCTAGAGAGGGAACGGCGGGTGTGAACATTGATTCGGTGGCAGATTGCGAAGTGATTAGAAAGGAAGAACCAAGAGGAGGAAATGCTGCCAGAGTGGATGTACGGGCTTAGATAGAGAAATGGATTGCTTGGTGACTTGGTTTTCAATCTCTCAAGTATGTACTCCGTAATGCTGGCCAATATGAGGTTAGGATTTGCAGATGTCGAAGCATTCGCGGGATTGCGTCCGTCTTCGGGTGTAAAGGACACTACCTTGTATGGCTTGCGTCATATGAGATAGAATCGATAGATTGAGCCTCAATTACAGATGAGCTTCGTTTCCGACCACTAAGTTGAGTAACTTAGCAGACGGCGGTTGCGCAATACAGGCATTTCTTGATATCCCCACTGACGTCATCTGTACCTCGTATCCAGGGAAGTTGGAGTGAACAGCAAGCCGTCCGGTTTTCGTGCCGGTGGAACATCTGTGCCAACTTGTTTCCATGACCTTGGCAATGCAATCATAATCTCCAGAGAAGTCAGCACTGCCTCAATCATTCTGTTGTACGTACTTCAATCAGGTCAGGATCTTGTTTGTACATACCCGAAATACATATTGCTCGGTCCGAATCGACAAGGTAGAAGAAGTTCTGCTCCCATCTCCCCCATACTCTACGCCATTTGACTTCTGGCTGATATCTCAAAGCTTCTCACTGTCGTTCTTCGAATCAGCAAAACATCTGATCGATTCAGTTTTTTTACAACATCATCCAAAGCAACGCACGTCCATTCGAACCTTCTACCAGCCGTCACGTCTCATCTCCTTCACATCCTATCTCCGACAGCAAGGCTCGTTGATACATTTTATCGGAGAAGCGGCTCATCTCCAGAGCTCATCCTCTGCGTCAAACCTGAACCATTTGTTTCCGACCGGCACGCAACACCAATCTCGAAGCACACAATGGGTATATCTTTCAACTTCTGGAGAGGCAAGCGCAGTTCCGCCTCGATAGGACGCGGAGGTATCCACGGGTCTTTTCGGTGTGGGAGATTTAACTGCTTCAAATAAGCAATTACCCATTCTGTATTTGGCACAGTTCAATGAAAAGAAAAGCGGAGCAAGAGACGGTATGATATTGGGATGGAGATGTGTATGTTGTGTTTAGCACAAGTCAGATGCAGGGCGTTGCAGCATCGTGGACCAGAAGAAGTCATAGCGTGCACTAATACGTTCTTGTATTCATTATGAAAACACATTTTCATGGCATGGTCTGTCCATTAGACATAGCGAAATTGAAACAATAGTATTCTGTCAAAACTTCCAAAAAGTATCAATCTGGTAATACGCCATCAATGGAGCGAGCTGGTTAGAGGCTTCGGAAGAAATCATAACCTTTTGCAATTCCTTCATGTCAGAGGAATGCTCTTCACTGCACCGCCATATCAGGGAATTTGGCGACGCCGAAGAAATACGCCATCCAAAGGCTTTAACCTCTGTTAGTTGAAAAAATTCCAGCCAATTCCCATAAGATGCAACCACATATAGATAACGCAACCATTTGTTCACGTCTCCGTGCCTAAGGCTACCTAGTCCTTGGAATGTTTGAGGAGGCCGCCACGCACTTGCAAAGCCTTAATACTCTTTGCAGCTAAATTGACTTCAGGACCTCCTGAGGCCTACTTATTGAATGATTCCCTATTTCTCCGTGCAACATGGGTATAACTGTTTATTGTTTAGGCATGGTTCTCGATCCTATTTTTGGGACCAGTATCCACAGCAAAATGGCAGGCCGGAGCCATCGATTACAATTCTCGTCCAACTTGATGGCCACAGGTGGGCCTCTACTAATACTGACCATGATTTACTCCACATGTAAGTGACTCAACTCATCACAGCTCGACGCAGAATACCCTGTCAGATCTAGACTGGTGAGGAGATGATTGGTCCACTTGTCGATGAGCGGCAGCGGTGAACGTCTGTTGGTCACACATCTGCCTGGGAAATTGTCAGCGCTGTACATGAAACGTGGCTGACTTAGCCTACATTTGAGGCGAAATGTCTTTAAACACTGTCAAAAGCTCTGATAGAGGATGGGCCTTTCGCCCATTAATGAGCTGGCATTGCTCGTATATTGGGTTCCTAGCACGGTAAATAGAGCTATGGTTACGCCTCTCAGTTCAGTGGGCAGTTTGAACAGATGGGACTCTACGACAATCTGCCTCTCTCATCAACCGAGCAGAGTATACGCTTGATAAAGCTACAAACCGCGAGCCATCGTAATGCAGCCCTTGTTGCAAATATTTCTGTTATACCATTGGCCACTAATCCAGACTATGCCGCTGTCTCCTATTGCTGGGGCTCTCCAACGACCAAGTGTCGGATCACTTGCAATGATACCGTGCTCCAGGTGGGCGAGAACCTGGGGGCCGCTCTCACCAGCATCCGGTCAATCTCCAACCTCCCTTTGTGGGTAGATCAGATATGTATCAACCAGAATGACCCGCGCGAGCGGAGTGCACAGGTTGCTTTCATGCAAAAAATATATTCGCAAGCTATGAGAACCTTCGTTTATCTGGGTGAACCCGATTCGGGTGCAGTGAATGAAGCCTGTAAGGTGCTTGAAACGATTGGAATACCTGTGCTTCAGATGAGCGATTACGACAAGGACGAGCTCAAGCTCAAAACACGTTTGAAAGTAGGCCTTGCTACAGTGAAGCTTGCCGTGCAGCATCCGCGCCTGATGAAGAGGGCATACAGCGAAGACGTGAGAAGAGCTCTCGAACGGCTGATCCGACTACCATACTTCTCTCGAAAATGGATCATTCAGGAGGTCGTCATGAGCCGGTCATTGTTTTGCTTGCTTGGCGGTCGTTGCTTTGAATGGGACCCATTTATCACGGCGATGCTAAAGCAAAGTCGTACTGTTGATTCCTCCGCGGACGTGTATAGTGCTACTAAAGTCTGGTGGCTTTGGGATTTAGTCCATGAGTTTGCAGACAAGCGGCGACCTCCACTCTTAACACTGCTATACTACTCGCGCTCTTTCAAAGCAACGGAACATCGTGACTACGTATTTGCCTTGCTTGGTGCTGCTTCTGATTCGCATGAGTTTCCGGAGCCAGATTATGAGTTGAGCGTTGAACAGGTATACCGGGAAACATCAAGCAGTTTTGTCCGGCAAGGGAATGGATTCTTATTGCTTCACCTTGCCGGTCTACGGCCCACCGATAATGGACTGCCGTCATGGGTAGTGGATTGGAGAAATTTTGATACCTTCTACTCGGGCAAGGATTTCTCATCGTTTTGTGCCGGGGGTATGGATGGATCTATAACGCTGACTCCAACAGCCGCCATACTGCAGGGATTTGGCAAGATTGTGGATCGCGTTGTTGCCGTTGCCGACCTGTTCAACCCTGAAGTGAATCTCTGTGACAGGTTGGCGCACTACATTGACAATTGTACCTTCGCCTTCGGAGAATTTTATGAAGATGATACTCAGAAGCTATCTATACAGAGAGACTTAGCCTCAATGATCTCGTTCGAAATGAAATTCAACGTCAACGACCCGGAACGAACTATGTACAAATTCAACAAGGACTACATCGACGTCTCCGCATGCCAGGATCTATCTGCCCTAGATTCTTTGACACCCGGACAAGAAGTGCTCATGTTCTGTAGGTTTTTCCTCCTCAAATCTGAGAGATGTATTTCAAGTTTTGGCCATGGGATTGGAGTGAGTGGCTTGGGCAGGCCTTTTCAGAAGCTCAGGCCCATCGAGACCCCAAAGATTCTCGCTGAGGACGCGGTAGCCAACGGGATTGCCAGAGACTCCGCCTTTGAGAACTTCTTACGGTACAATTTCTTTAAGCCCACGACGAGGCCGGTCATGACCCAAGATCGCCGACTTGGTTTAGGCCCATCTATGACGCAGAAAGACGACGTGGTGTGCGTGCTCTTTGGTGCCAACGCCCCACTGATTCTGCGCCCATCCGCAGGCGGCACATACAAAATAGTTGGCGAAGCTTACGTGCAAGATATCATGTTTAGCGAGACTCTGAAGGATGACAGATATCCTGTCCAACAGATTCTGATCAGCTGAACATGGAGCAGTTGATGGGTTAGTGGGACTGGTGATCAATGACGGGCCACGATTCAGCTCAAAACACCCATAACCTAGCCATCGTCCTTAGCTTTTCTACTCCCTGGATCGGTTTACAGGAAGAGCCCCAACAATTCGACGACATGATCTCATCAAGAGCAGGTCATGGTATTTCTGAGTCCCAGACATCGGCCCATTCCGTGGAATGCTCGTCTCAATAGGCCCCCACACGGCGTTTGAACTCCACTGCTGGCGTCTGGCCATGAAGCGCAACATGGAGGATTTCAGTGCTGCAGGCCAGTCCCGGAAGACATAGGGGCCCTGACTACAGATCCTCCAGTTTGCTAGGTCAGGTCATTTTGCAGTGCTTCAACGTTCCTGCGCCAAATTTAAAAGGAGTACGATCACTCTGCCTACCGTCTCTGGATGATATCATCAGTGAGGCTTCGCCCGAAGACCGAAATAGCCACCTGTTGGTTATATGTGGTATGGGAATAAGGAATACCTAGCGGATATGTACCGTGGAAGGAAGACCAATACCAGGACAGTGAACTCCATCACCCTCGGCTCACTTATTCGTTCAGTGACTCCAAGTACGGAATTTTCAAGGCCATTTTTCAACCCATATATGGCAGTAGAGAAGGAATCACGAAGAACGCCTCTTTCTACGCCCTATCACCTCACATTTGGTTATCATTCTTAGATTAGCGAGCTTATTAAGGTAGAAGACGATGATACATAATTTATGAAGACAGGCACATATCTGAGAAAACGCTTAGACATGGCGGAGTAGGAATGAACATCTTGGAGTCTATACAGATATCTCTACCTTTCCATTTTCGCCTTGGCCATGATGTATCTGCAGGGTTAAATCACGTGAGTCGCGTGAGCAAGGTGTGGAGTGGTGGCTGACAAGGCTGTGTTGACCCCCTCAATCACAGCTTAATAAACGCTCAAACTTAGCCAATCGAATCCTTCCAAACACGAAGTTCAGGGCATGAAATATATGAGCTGGCCTGCAGGGAGCTTACCCAGGATGCTGTCTAGGGTCGAGGCCGAAAGCCCACTCCGCAATGTAGGGGACGACAAAGCCAGGCGGTGCTCCCTTTGAAAATTAGAAATCATCCTGTACTCTTGACCTACACTGAAAAACAACAGTCCCTCACACGTGGCAGCGTACATCAACCTTCCAGCTCGTCGTTTCATGCCTATAAAGGTTCAAATCAAGTCAGATGTCCCATTCGAACGCTCCTGGTCACCAAGGTTGAGAACCTAGACTCTCGATAGCCTTCTCCGGTACAAGCAAATCTTAGCGCCTGGATAAATCAAATCTCAAGGCTTCATCCAATATGACAGTTCAATGGAGAGTGCAGACCAAAAGTCGTTGCATGCACAACAGCCTCCATCTTATCCACCAGCTGTGATACAGGCAGGGTATTTCGCTCCTCCAGCACCGGCTCCTTACCCGTACGCTGCAAACTTATACCTGCCAGCGCCTTCAGGTTATACTTCCAAAATCTCAAATGTTCATGCACCATTTACGTCTACCCCCTATAGCCGGACAACTCTTCACGAGGATGTGCCAACCAACTCGTTGAATTCGTTACAACTGGCACTAGACGAAGTCAAACATCTGTCCAGGATGGCAGATCCATTGTCTGTCGTTGCTTCTGTCGTTGCTGTTGCTTCTGCGGCAGTACAAATATCCCAGACCTTGTACAAGGTAGCTGACGCTCTCGGTGGCACTAACTCAGAGGTCGAGTCCATTGCGTCCGAGGTGGAGATATTCTCTGATGTCCTCGAAGATCTTCGTGAAATCCTTGACGAAGCAGAAGATATCATAACCCCCAAAGCTCTGAAACATGCAAATACACTCCTTTCGAAGTGTAAAGATGTCTTCGAGACAATCCAGCAAATGCTAGCACCATACAAAGATGCAGACCGAATCAGCTTCTGGCACAGTATTCAATGGGCCTTCAGACGAGAAAGGGTGAAGCCTATGCGCTGTAGGCTTGAAGCATTAAAAACTACTCTTTCGGTCTGGCTAGGAACAGTCAGACTGGCACGGTACAGAAGCAGCTCGTTAGCCATGTAAGCAAGTTCCGTTAAGAAGAGAAGATGCATGCTAAATCTGGATCAGTGATTCTTCCTCCGATAGGAAGGACAAAAAGTATTTGTTGGATGTAGAGAAGTCAATTGTCCGAAATAGTACTGCCATGGTTCGCTGGCAGCGTGCAGAAGCAGAAGCTAGGCAACCGTACAACCCGTACGGCCAGGCTTATTCGGCTATCGCTTACACTCCCACCAAGCCTTCGAAGGAGATACAATGGATGTCTCATCTGGTACCATATACAAACGATTCAAAAACTGAGCCGCGGAATCAGGCCTTGCAACTAGAAGACGTCCAACTGAGCCCAAGCATCCCCAGAAGCATCTCAAACATAGAGGTTCTGAAAACTGTGAATGTGCTGCTTGCTAAATGGACAAATCTTGATGTCTCGGCTGAAGATTTGCCAGAATCCAGAACAGCAACTGGCAAGACCGGGCGGTCCAAAAGGGATGTCGAGAAGGCGACTGGCACTGGGCGCTTGGGCCGCGATGCTGAAAGCTCTGGTGTCAAGAAGACAAAAGCAAACAAAGAGCAGCCCCGGGAAATGCTACGTACGAAGAAAACGCAACCGCTTAGTGTGAAGGGAATCGACAGTGGTGATAGAGAGAGTAAATCAGAAGATGATGCCTCAATACAAACAGATGGAGTGGCGGAAAGCATCAGGAAGGAAAGGGTCGGTGACAACGCCACAGATACTGAAGATGTTCAGGCATTTGATCCGATTATAGCCGACGCTTCAGGCGATGAAGCCAGCGATGACAGTGCATGGGAAGCCATCAGTACCGGCCATCTTTCTCGCCGGGAGACCAAAGCAAGGTTTGTGGAGAATCGCCTCGAAAAGCGTGAAGAAGGTATAGGATTAGAGACACCTTCGGACTTCTCAAGTACTAATAATGCCCCGCCGACCGCCTCTTATACATATCCCTCGGTTTCCCAGCCCTCCGCCCTCAACCCACAGGCCGGTCATGCACAAACGATTGCGAGTCACAGCCAGGTCTATACAGCTGGTCCACAAATCGAATATGCACAAAAGGTTGCGAGTGACAGCCATCCCCCGGATCATACGGTACCGTATGGTCTTGTGCCACAACCTCAAGACCCCATTCCTACTTCACCATGGGGAAATTCATATCAGATAACCAGTCCTTATAGCATGCTTGTGTCTGGGCCGCCTCCTCCAGAAGAGCCCCCACCCTCGAAGACACTCAACGGAAAGGAAGTACTGGCACGTGTGCAAGAAATGCTGCTGAAGAACAAGGAGGAGAACATTTCCAGGGAAAAGGCTGGATTAGCACAGATCGCTGCGGCCAATGCAGCAAGAGAAAAGACGTATCGAAAAGAGATGGAGGCTGCGGTGCTGAGGGCGCATATGAATGCTGAGAGAGTGATAGCCGAATCAGTTGCAAGAGTACAAAAGGAGGCAGAGATCAAGGAATCCGACATGGAGAATGCTGTTATTCATTTCAAAGATGCAGTTGGGAGAAGGTTTATCTTTCCTTTCAAGCTCTGTCGCACATGGCGTGTAGGTGCAGGATCCCTATTTTGCTATAATCACTAACAGTCAACAGGACATGCAGACGCTTGTTCGTCAAACATTTTTCCACGTTGAAACTCTCAAGCCTTATGTAGTGGATGGAAAATATGACTTACTGGACTCGGACGGCGCGATCATCTTACCGCAAGTATGGGACAGCGTAATTGAGCCAGGGCGGACAATTGGAATGCATTTGTGGTCATTACCAGGTCAAGACAATACTCAGGATGAGCCGGCTAGCACCGCTTCTGCTCCGTCAACAGCCCCTGGACCTGACCCTGGGGTCTTGAGCTACCTTGATGGTACACCGATTCCGTCACCAAAACCTCCAAACTTGAATCCCCTTTCCGAATCAGCATTTCTCCCCCCACCAGAGGCGCCACAACCATCACCCGCCATAGCAGAGGAGGATTCGGAGGCTCAGTCTACACCAACGAGAAAGAGATCAAAAGATCGCCCTAGGACACTTGGCACGTCTGGAGAATCGAGCTCTGATGAGGGTACTGAATCTGAGTATGCTGGCGACAGCGAGGTCGATGGGGCTGAGAGTTCGGTGGTGCCATGGCAGGAAGCCCTACAGAGAAGCTCGGAGAAGCATGCTGAGGAATTTCAACGCACGTGGGATACTATTACAGAGGCGGCCAAAGCGGAAGCTGTGCGCGAGATCCTCAGGAAATGGTTAAAAGAGAACTCGGGTTCAAAGGATCAGGAGGAGGACCACCAGATACAGACACAAGCCAAGGATTTGATAGAACAGCCAAAGAACAATGCCAGGCCCGCTATACAGCAGCTGCAGATGCAGTTACCGACGTCCGTTTCAGGTAGTATCTCAGCAAACCCGTATGCGACAGAAGCTCCACGATCGGTTCTTGCACTAGGTGGCCGCACCCAAAGCAAGCATGATGTGGCCAACGCTCTGGAAACAAGTCCTTTGAGTGCCGCGCCAAGTTGGCTCTGCAGCGAATGTCACTCACCATTGCCCCGTGGAAAGCAAACAGAAGCTCCTCTTCCGGATATTGGATCTCCCCAGACTCCGCAATCAAAGCCCAGAAAGCCCACTAACGCACAAAGTGTAATACCCCAGCTTCCCAATGACATGTCTCCACCACTAAACATCAACAAAAGCATAGCTGAGCGTCTCGACCTTTTGGAGAAAATCCTCCAACACCAAGGAAACGTGCGGGGACAGGCGAAAGAAGAAGAAGAAGAAGAAGAAGAACGCTTAGCCCAGCTAGAGAAAACAGTGCGGCAGCCAGGCAACGGTTATGCACCTGCACCAGCATTGATGACACCTCCTATTACCGAGCCGGAATTGTCGCAATCCTACACGCCTTCCAGTGCGAAAACTCCATCTAAAACCGGCACAGTCAGTACGAAGGAGAGGAAGGGTCCGTCATCGAGATCTCTTCTTCGAGCACGGCTTTTTGGAAGGGCCAAATCGGACTCGGGGGCCGTCCATTAGATGTACCTTTGGAAAAGAATCTGAGAATCAGAAGCGCACATGGACAGTCCGACCAAGCCGGTGAAGATGCAATTCTGCAGAGCGTTGGCATATGCGCGAGCCTCAAGAGCACCGAATTCGATCTTCCACTCAATAGCAACCAGTAGCAACGAACGAAATCATCGATGCGCCAAAAAGAAAGAAAAAAATCGGCCTGGAATCGCAAAGGAATCGCGGACCCATTATCGGGTTGAGGCATACCACCATCTCAAAATGGTTCGGAGATTTCTACCACACGCGACAGGCCATCAGCCACACGAGCATCCAACAAGCGAGACGCGGACCGGAGGACCCTTGGGTGGCATACAGAAAAATTAGCTACAACCAGAAGTTCAAGCACAGCAACCAAGGGATCAATCTACCCCATACAGAGAAGAAAAACCCGGTCTCTCAAATCCCGATACATGAATTACCACAACTAGCGCTCTAAGCAACATGCCAAACGCAGGAGAACTGGGCACCGGAAAGCACCATCTAAGCACATACGAATGGATGATGTCTAGATATGCCTCAACTTAGTGGAGCCGTTTCCGGTCATGCTCTCAGTGTGACGGCCCGGCCTTACTGGAGCGCGCTGTACCTAGCTAGCTGCTCAGCAAGCAAACCACAAAAAGAGCCGCCTCCCAGCGAGAGCGCACGTACATTGAATAATGCGTCCGAGAGCATGCCCTAGCTAGCTGAGTTGACTGCACAACAGCCTACCCACGAGGCGGGAGGCTCACTCCTACCTTACAAGCGTTGGGTGCACGATCCAGCACGGTAGGAAGCGGACGTTAGGGAAATGGCGTGGAATACAGCATGCATGTAAAAGTAAAAAGTGCATGGCTAACCCTCTCACCGAAGGATGACCTATCAACCTATCAATCTTATTTAAAAATGTTCTTATGTCATCATAGCTGGCTCGGTAGATATGGAGCAGTAAAGCAAAATCCCATACCAGTCCTAACGATAATCCATCACAAGGACCGCGCACGGGACAGGGGCTGTTTGCTGTGACCGGTATGCATTGATGTGTGACAACATGATACCTAACAAGGTGATGTCTTTTCTCCTGTTCGGAATCTGTTTACGATGGAATACTGTCCCATGATTTCTGATCTAAATGGTGGTGGTGGTGGTGGTGCTGGACGAGGATGACGAGGAAGGAGAAGGAGGAGGAGAAGGAGAAGACCCACCTCAGTAAATCATCCATCCTTTCTTCTCTCGAGCAGAGACCCGAGATCCGACCAAAATGAATTCCGACTCGCACCCCCATCGGACCCAGAAATTCCTCCCACGACTTCAGCAACCCCTTCGATCACCCAACCTCACCCGACCACACCTCTCTTGTCTTCCTTTCTTCCTGCCAAGGCAAGAAAGGAGGGAGAAATCCAGTAAGATGCATCCCTACAAGTCCGCGGCAAACATGGCTCTACTCTTTGCTACTCCCTCTTCGCCGCGAGGGAAAGGGGTAAAACATGCCACCTCTGAGATCCAGCTTAGGTTGGTCTTTTCTTCTTTGGTGAGATGGCGATCTAGACGGGACATTTTACGAGGGCTGGACTCTTCCGAGTTAGGATCTTGACTGGCGCTTCTCTTTTGACCCTGATTGGTGGGGGGAAAAAAGCGAGGGGTCTGCCGTTTGATGACTCTGAGGTGGTTGTGAAAGGCACCTCAGGTTTTCCCCATGCTTGTGTTATGGGATTGGTGTTGTTTCGTAGGATGAGATACATCATAGCGTATTGTTAAACTATCACTCAATTTTGCTGAAGATGACTGACTGCCCTTCTAAAGGTGTTGAGTAGGGTAGGTCTAGTCATCAAGTGGATGGGGCCACGGCAACGAGTTTGTCTTGAAAGAGTTGATTCTTAACTGCCAAGATAGCGCTGAGCTTATGCAGCAACAGCAAGAGTCTTCTTTTGCTTTGCTGCGTGTAAAGAACAGGTTGGCATTTGGGATTCGTCATCTGAGAGTGGAGATCTTGTCATCTGAACATGGAATGGGCGAAGCTGGATGTTAGACTCATGACAGCATACCCAGTAAATGAGCACCTGAAAGCCGACGGTCAGACAATTGTTTGACTTTGCGCTCTGTCAATGCGGTGCGAAGAGATTGATCAGGGTGCCAGATAATGAACCCGGGAGCAAACTTTCCCAATGACCATTGCCGCCAGTAGGGAGGCTGGTGGAGGGAGATTCAGTTTGAAGTGGTAGTATAGAGGTACCACACAGTGACTGTTCGGCTCTCAATCGATGAAGTGACCCATGCTCCGCTTTCCCCCTGCCAGTGCAAGGACTGATACAATCGCGGACAAGGATCAGACTTCGATGGAATTATCCATCACTCTTAGCGGAAAGGAAGTGGCAAAAGGCAGCCTGGGTCCAAGGCAAAGGCATGATATGACAAGATGAATTTGTTAGAACGGGTAAAGGAGCTGCGGATGTTGCGCCATGCTAGTCCCGTACGATTTTTAACTAGAACCACGGACAGAGAAGGGCGAAATGGACTTCGCCGCGAAAGTTTCCGGAGTGGAGATAGACCAAGCGAGAGTAGCTTTGAGACAGGGGGGTTGATGGGACATGAGATGATTGCTTGTTTATTATGGGTCAGTAGAATGTCCGACATTGCGATCTCGCCCACGGCTGTAAACGATTCCAAAAACAGAGGGGTTGTAACTTCCCTTGAACGGTGGTAAAGTATGTGTATGCATCGAAGGGATAAACAAACCTGGTTCGTACACTGTGACAGGGTCACAATCTGCGCCTTCATTCGAAGGCATGTCCGATGCCGCATATAGTCCTGCCAGTTCTGATTGAGGTTCCATGGATGTGGCATGGCATGGTGATAGTATACTGGTGAAAGAAGGAGCAGGTCGGTTTGAAGCATCGCATGACAGATCGTGCTTCGGCGCCGAACCAGAAATTGTCCGACACACCAATTATGATTGAAGTCATACCATTTCATATTTTGAATATGTGTGTAGCGAAAGAAATCGAAGATTAGGTTTAAGGTAGGGATAAGTCGTAAGGTGATGTTTGCTTTGAATTAGATACTGACCGACATTATGTACTCCCCTGGTGACCGTGATCTGGGGTTGAAGAGGAGTTTGATGCGAGATTTCATCACCCCGGGTGGCTTCAAGTACGTGATAGAGTAAGGAGAAGGTTGCTTCTGAGATTGGGCCTGCTACCAGCACGAGGCACCACGTATGTTTGCTGTCGGTGTAAATTGTCCGACTTTGCGACCTGCTCTTATCCAGATGCCAGTATTAATTGGTGCCAGGGGACGGCGAGGCCACAGGTGGCATGTTCTGCATGTTCTGCATGTTCTGAACTGCTTGGGAAATTCAGTTTCGTTCAGCGGATTGCATGGTCACGATGTGCGACAAGAGTTGACTTTGGGGATTGATGATTGATCATTGTAGTTACCGAAAGTATAGATGGGAGGATTAGCACATGAAAGTGAAGTCGAGATCCAAATCAGCACGAGGAGCGAACGCAACGTAATCTACCAAGGATGAGCTTTTCATCTTTGCCAGAAACACCACGCAGAGAGGCTGAGCTGCACTGCAGCGGTCGCAGCAGTCGCAGCAGTCAAAGGAGAAGGTCAAGAATTGATCCGTAGTCCACGGAGAAGTCTTACAGATACGAAGCCCCTGACATCGGAATAAATGATCCCACACCCTTGGCAACGGTGTTCTAGTGTGACGGAATACTAGGTAGTAGGCATGAATAACGAGCTCCGATTCGCGGATTCGAAGACGTGATGTGGATGAAGATCTGTGGATCGTGCGCGGTCCGATTTCCAAGATGACCATGCTGTAATGAGTCTAATGACATTTGCTGCGAGACTGCAGATATTGGTGATGCTTCCTGGCGAAGACAGGCCGCGCTAGCCGCATTCTGCACAGAGTCCATGTCGTGCAACACCGCTACCAAGACGATGTGCTGGGCCGATCATCTGATTCCTGCAGCGATGATGCAGCTTGCCGCTGTCATATGCATGGACGCGATAGTGCTGGACAGGCATGTAGCCGAGCTTCGTGAGATCGAGGTGAAGCTGTGGCCGTGACAGAGCATACGTAGTATGTTATGCGTTTCGACACGTGTGTGCTGGAGACTTGGACAATGCTGATTCGATATATCCATGTTTGCCTACGCAGCTGACAGAAGCTGAATCCCACCACGCCAAGCGAGGTAGAACGATGTGGCTCAGAACTGCATTCCAATCACGCCTCCTTGCTGACACGTTGTGGGACAAAGGTGTTCCAGGGTGTGATGACTTCGGTAGAGCAGTAAGTATGCTGACGAGACCTCCAGACACCCGAAGGCGCTGCAGGTCTGATGCAAACTATGGACAAGCCTAGGAATCCAGGAATGTCGGATTTTTACGAACTGAAGTTCATTCTCTAACCGTTTGGCGTCACTGCTAACTGCCCTAAGGTTTTGAACCATGTCTCAAGGACCTGGACGCGCGGCTTACTGAAGACGCTCCATATCGGTCATCGATGAATGATGAACGTGGGCGGTAAAACATATTTTGCAGATTGCATGCCGGGACTTCCTCACGCACCAGCAAGCTTGGAGATAGAAGAACTCGCCACTTATTTGCACGGACAGTTTTGGCAGCCGTAAACGAAGAATCTTACAACCCAGGAGGCCAAAGGTGAAAAGATCGTACACCCAGATAGTCGGTATTTTCCGAGCATATTTGGAGGAGGGCCCGAACGATCTCGTTCCGTCACATAGTCTACTGGACAATTGGTCCTGTATGTTAATCTGTATATCTGAATTCGGCCTTGCTGATCGAAGCTACATCAGATTGTTCTATGCTACCTAGTCGTAACGGTGTGGAGTTGAAAGTCGTTGCAACGGCTTGGGTCAGGTAGGATAAACTCCATTCGATTGATTGCGCGAGTAGTGCCTTCAATTGACGCAATATTGGACTCATGAATATGTGCCTTTGAAGCGTGAGAGATGAGTACAGAGGTAGATGGGTTTACAGGGTAATGGCTCCTCTATACTGGTATGCTGGGCTTCAAGTATGAGCGCGCTCCTCGGGCTCATTCGAAGATGCTATCAGCCATCAGTGTAAGAAAGTGGGGACCAAAGCTATGACCTTCAAACCACAGCTCTGAAGTGATGCCAGACCCATGTCACGTATTAGACATTAACTCCCGCAAGTAATTATAGCCGTTGATGCTTCAAGTAGCATGGTAAGTCAGGGACCGGCCACTGTTCATGCTGCCTTGCACAATGATAAAAACCGCGTTATCCTAGCCAAGCTCAGTAAAGAGTCGACTTCGAGGAATAGCCTTACCACTGCAAAGTGTAGCGCTGTATAGGGAATTGTTGACAATGAAAACACCAAGAGTCACCGAGAGACATGCACCCTAACTAGCTTCGTTTGTCGTCATACCGGTGAACAGATGATCAAAATCAAACGGAAGCAAAACGCATGGCGCAGAAGTCTGCATGTTCGACATCGAGTTCAGGAATAGGAGATTTGACTGGAACATTTTCGAATATGGGGGAAAGATTCCCTGCTGGGAGTCGGAGATGCTGTTATCCACGGACATACATTTGGTTGACCACTGCCGCATCGCTGTCATTACCTAAAACATCTAGTAGAGTGTGTAGCGTTTCGCATCAATAGCGATTCGGTCTAGGATAAGAGTATGGTACGACAGCACGGAGTGCAAAGAGGCATACAGTATTCGGCAGCATTTTTGTTGAGTGCGGAGAATTTTCCTGCAGCGCAGTGGCAGTGGGATGGTTACTAAAATGTGTAAATCAGAGGCGCGCCTCGAAGTCTTGCACTGCAACGGCTGCCAGGATAATTTACCACTGCCTACGTAGTCCGCTGTTCGGGCCTTAAGGATGCCAACGTGTATCGTGTGTAGTCGTGTAGTCGTGGCTTTGAAAGGGTGAGCAGGCATCGTAAGTGGGCAGAATATCGGAGAGATGTTCACGTCATCGACATGATAGGCTAGGTAAATAAATAACGCAACACACGAGCTGAAGTCTGTGACACCAAGGCAGGGGAGCAAAATGGACAAACTGCCCACACGCAACACACAGATCTTTTCCAAGTTCCGATCTGTATTTGCCACGTGCTCTAAGTACTCCCAGGCGAAGCTGTACAACGTGAATCCCACATTTGAAGAAAATGTGATGCAAATCCTTCGACCTTGTATGTTCATAGTACAGCAAATGTCGAGACCATTGTAAGGATGGTATCGGCAATCTGAACTATTGCGAGCATTGCCGTGCTCTCAGTGAAGACATGGACAACCATCTAGTCCTCACAATAAAGCTTCGGACCTCGTGGCGGCCAGATACATTCATGGTCCAGTTTCGTGGTACCGATAGCGGGTCTGTTATCATTGTTCGGACTCTTACTTGTCACGCTGTCAGGTACGGAAGGCTGCATGTCTTGAGCATATGCCTATGTGAGGTCAGGAATAAAACACATTACACCATTGTTCCTGTGTTGTCATTTGCTACAGAATCCTGTAGACAAGTCTACTACGACAACCTCCGCTCATCCTGAGGAGTCTTCGGGTGCTGCGTCCCAACAGCTAACTACCTTCGAAGTAGAGTCTAACAAAGAAAGGCTATGATACCATATATAAAGAACAGAAGTGAACTTCATGAGATCCAGTGTTGCACCAATTTCGGAGCGTTGGATTGGGTTGACTTGGATTGAGGCCCCCACAGATTGCTCCATCCCTGGTGTGTTGTGCATCATAGCATGCATTGAGTAGAGAAGGAGTCTCGAAGAAGCATACAGGAGCACGATAATCAGACCAGATTGGGATTCACTCCGTACTTCATCTCTGGTAGGAGCTTCGGACCTCGCTCCAAATTCAGGTTTTATGCTGTCCGTCCAACGGAGGTCTCGTCAACCAGAATGAGATTTGAGGGATGATTACGACAATTGAGAAACACCGGGTACGAGATACTTTGGAAACCATCACTTGCATGTTGAGTGATCGCCGTAGACCATATCATCAGTAGAATATAAATTAGGATAGCGATGGATGGAGATCCTGAAGGATAGTTGCTAGGACTTGAGTAAAGACTCCCAATTGATGGTGACAGCATCAAGTATTTGTCAAGCTGCGAAAGGCGAGTTTATCACCATCATCACTCAGGTACCGCATGACAGTGGGGCAGTACCGACCGAAATGCCCTTCCATAACAGTAACAATATTTGGATAGCAATGCCCATAGACCGTTGAACCTTTGAACCTTTGAGCCTTTGCCCAATGTAGGCATGGAAAAGAGGCGCTTCGTAATCTTACGTGAGATTTGAAAAAAAAAGACCGTCTCTGGTACGGAATACGACGGCACCTGGGCTCGAAGGTTCATGGAACGAGTAATGTAAAGGCGCTAAGTAACCAGTTGCGCCGAGGTTCTGAGATTTGTTTGACTTTATCTCTTTGCACCTTATAATGATAAAGTTCGACCGTTGAATTACCGCTGCGTGATTGGCTGGAAGCGGGCTGGATCTCGTCTCAGTGGGGGAGTGTTAAAGTGTGTTGCAGAGCTTGCAAGGGCTTGGTGCTGGAGTTGTCTACGGATGCCTGTCTGCAGGCCCTTGTTAGTCTGGCTGGAACCAGGATGAGTGGGACAGGACTGTGAATTGGGTGCAGCTGGCTGCAATTAGGGCAGAGCAACCTTTCGATCCCCCCCCGTCATTAGAACAGGGGTCTACTGTCGCATGAGTGGCTGATGTGATAGCGAGATCGAGCAGATCGGGGAGGGCAGCCTTGCCTCCCAACCCTTGGCCACTGACATTCAACCTTTCACAGATTTACCGGCCCCGAATCCATCCTCCCACATCCACATCTGCCGATCATCGACTTTGGTGGCTGATGACATCTAGTTCCTTAACACTCTCAAAACGTCCTCCCGGCCTACTCGTCCTTCCTCCTGCAAACTACCATGCATCTTCCTGATTGATCTATTTCGCACCATGCGCCATCCATTGTTCGCAGATTGACGTGTCCAGCTAGATAACTATTTCAACCGGGGGTCAGCATTGCATGCTTTAACTGTCCTATCCCTCGACATCAAGACTATCTACGCTGCTTTCGCCTCCGCCATTTCGAAGACCTTTCACCCACTAATTCGTCTGACTGCTATCGTCTTGACCCGCTACATCGAATCCGCAGTTATAGTGTACGACATCTTGCTGCTGGAACGATTGCTGAACTGAACTGTGGATTGGAACACTCGGGAACCAAATACTAGAAAAATAATCGAGCATATGGTCTTGCGGTATTTTGAGCAAAGACAAAGACTCAAACAGAGCACGGCTCTTACGGGAAAGGATGGAAGCCGTGGACGGCAATTCCAGACATAGGTCCGTATTTGCCTACTGAGTCCTGTGCTCGGGAAGTGCCCAGGTAATTGTGCTTTCGATCACTAATTGTTGGCCCCAGAAATGCTCTGGCAGCTCTGAACCGGCTGGACATGGACAAAATCACTCGAGATGGCATCGATAACCATCATAAAGTACCCACCCCAGGATTGAGCTTGTCAATTGCTCCGTTGCTGAGCCCTACAACAACATTTCCGGGGGCCCAACCCCCATACTCGTGTTCCTCTTCCGCCACGCCTTCTAACATGGGGACTTTCGAGTATATTTCACCTCCCTCATCCAGACGGACAACTGTGGATGATAAAGCTTCTGCCCCACGTCAGTCGTTACCTTCGATTCAGGAAGCCCTTGGAGGCGATGGGACGAAGCCATTCTCGGCAACCATAGTACATCCACTTTCAGCAACCTCACGAGTAGGCCAGCCAACGTTGTCTTTTGGTTCTGGACAAACCCTTCCTGAAGCACCCTCAGGTCCACCTAACCCCTTCTCCCAGGGCTCAGCAGCTGATCAGACATCGGAAAATGATCCCTACATATCTCACCCTGTCCAGCATCAAACCCCTCATGCAGAGCAGGACAGAATCAAACCAAGGTTTCCGTCTATCAACACCACAGAAGCCTTAGCCGCTTCCTCGCATACATATCAGTCGAAGTCTCCGAAACCAAGATCTGCTCATCCAGTGCCCACCAATTCATACAACCAATCACCTCACATCAAGAATTACAACCCTTCTGCTGACACATCACCAACTCATTATCCGAGTTATCGGTCTCCATACGCTTACTCTGGAGGCTCTTCAAACCCTCCCCCTTCTACATATCCGTCTGCCCCCGATTACAGTCGCTTCAACCCGGCTTTCAAGTTCGATGACAGAAAGCAGTCTATTCCAAGAAGCCATCCCTCACAACCCTACAGCGATTCTATCAAGCGCCATCTTGATATCTTTGACTTTGAGATGGCACTTAACGAGGTGTGCATCAACTTCTACCCCTTAGTGATATTTGTCTGACCTATGTAGGTTTCCGAGGGTTCTGGTCGAGCACTTGAGTTTTCGCGCATTTGGAAACAACGGGCCCATCAACGTCAAAGATCAGTGCAGTTGCCTGAGAGTCTACCAAGTTTGTCAGAGCTTGATGACTTGATGCGCCAGTCTAGTCGAGTTGTTGAAGCATTTAGCCGCATTAAAGAAGCGGTCATAGCGCAGCAGCATGCTCTTGCTGAGGAGCAAGCTCGGGCTTTGAAGCGAGAACACTACGACGATGAGTCGACTGGCTTTTCTGGAGAATACAAAGAAAATGGTGGTTTTGCAGCTGGAGACTCCAAGAAGAGAAGAGGCGTAAGTGGTTGCCTTTGATTTCCCTACCGCCAGCTCAAAGGCTAACATCTTCCTGTGTAGAAGGCCGCACCCCCTGGGAGGTGCCACAGTTGCAACCGAGCCGAGACACCAGAGTGGCGACGCGGACCTGATGGTGCTCGCACCCTATGCAATGCATGTGGCCTTCACTACGCCAAGCTTACTCGAAAGATGGCCGTCAACAAAAATGCTGCGCTTTCCGGTTCCAACCTTCGTCCCAAGAATTCGGAAGCACACTCGACTTTGTAAAAGCTTTTTGCACATATAATTACCGTTCCCTCGCTCAGACTGTTATGAATTTCATATATTCAAGACGACAGATGATCGAATGCCTTTTTACCAGCCTCAGCTTTCATGCTGCCTTGATACCCTTCAGCGATGTTTTTGTCTCTTTTAGGAGATTATCGAGGTTTTCAGATCTCGACTGGATTGGCGTTCTATGCTAGCATTGGCAGGTTAAGCATTGGCTTCTAGCAATGAGCGTTCTTTGAACATCGTTGTATCGTGGCATCTACAGCAGATGCTGCGAATTTTAGCCTTATCAGAGGCGTTTTTGAGCGTTTGTTGGTGGAAGAATTTTTACGAATTTCATTTATTTACAAAGATACCCCATCAGCCTTTTTAGAGGCTCTGTTTTGCTGGGGTTTCACCACTTTCACCCTTCTATCAGTTCCCAAGGTTGAGCAGTCCTTTTATTGATAGTTGAGGCTGTGGGAGTTAAGAAGGATGTTGCAGCTTTGTGTGGGGCTAGGCTACCAGGGCTCTGTATCGAGCTCACAAAAGCTTCCATCAATGTGTACAGGCAACTAGCTATCATAATAATGTTGCAAAAGTGTATGATCGGTCTTCCTCCACATGACTCATTACTGCAAACTGCAGCTCGGCAAATACCGGTATTGGTGATAACGGTAATTTACGTAGTGGAGTGTGGATCCGCATTTCATCCCGGAGAACACGGAGCATCATCCGACCAAGTGTGGCACAGATCTGACCACGCCAAGCACGAAGGTGGAAGAGAAGGATCCACCGCAAGATTAGAACAGCAACCAAAATCGTGGGGTTTTACGTAGGAAAGAATAATGCGATCACCGGCCACTGATCAAGGACCGATCGACAGGGCACTTGCGAAAAGGCCATCATATATTCAATTTTCAAGCCAATCATGGCAGGTGGCCGACGTGTGCACGGGATGGTTTCACCGATCGTCATGACCTTATCTGACCCAAAAGATCTATCTAGTTCAGGATGCGAGATCCTTGATCTCGTAAGCAACCAATTCAAGGCGGAGGTGCGTCTTGCACATCAACTCTTACGTCTTGGGCACTCATGCAGAGATCGCCTATGTCATACGTTTTGCCGCGGGCCTTGAAATTTGCCGATAATGAAATACGAGATTGGGCCAAGGATCTTGCTGTCGTATTTTTCCATGCATCTGGCTTTTCCGAGATTAGATAACAAAGTGGGTTGATACTGCAGTCCAAGACTATTGATCAAACACTTCCCTTTAGTAAGAGCATGAAGTTCCTTGTCAGAACATCGTCAACCCGCCATTATCGCTAGGTCCACCTAGGTTGACTCTGTGAACGCGAAAGCACGTTTTCGGTGCTCGTCATTCTTGCCGATCATTATGGGAGTGGTTCACACCGTTGGCTAGTGCTTAAGCCACATTTCGCTAGCTCACGATCCTTGGGATCGGCCCCCGAAACGTCCAGTTCGCCAATCTTCAAGTTGTTGATTAACATTCAATGCCAAGTCAGAAAAATACCGCCTTGGTCGTTGCTAGCAGGTATGTTTTCCATCCACTTCTCAACAGCAGGCAATGTTGCCAAGAATGCTGGGATCTGCAAGCTACTAGTACATAGTATCATGTTCGTTTGGTTGGGTGGTTGAGATGAAGTATGACCTGCTTGAGCCAGCCTCAATTCAACCAAGACCTTCTCACCTCCGTCGGTTACAGAATTTCTGAAATCACAGCATTGCCTCTCACAAGCCTTGCAAACAACTTCGGTCAAATTGGCCCTGTCAAGTTTTAGGTTTATTCGCTTCCTAGCTATGGTGGATCAGTCCCGACCCGATTAGGACCCTGCCATGCATCAACCATTTTTTTTGACCGCCATAAGATGTGATTTAAAAAAATCCCCCTCACCTTTCACTGGACCCTGACACCATTTTCGGCAGCCGCTAAGATACCGGATGACCAGAAGCGGCTCTAGATTACTTTTATTGCCTATTTTGTCGAATGGGGAGGCCTTAACCGGTAATCGGATCGTTGATCTCGATCGGCATCTTGTCCCGTAGTACAGAAAAATACAGATGGTAAACCCCTGACAGCGGCCAGATCATCTGCCAGGTAGTCCACTCGTAGGTGGTGGGCCAGCGAAGCGAAAGAGTGATCAGTGACTACGGACTAACTGATCCTGTGTCTTTCGACAACTGACAACCCTTCCAACTTGTCTCACATCCCGAGATTCGCTCGGGGGGAATATTTCAGAGTCCACAGCAGCCAATGGTCTGTATGCAGGGGAAAGGCTCGGTTCTTACCCATCATTGATTTTCTACTCTTACAGCTGGCCAACAGAAGTCGAGAAATGAGGATTTTCCCGATATTTATTGATTTTGCTTCCACCATTCCCATTTGCCGGGTTGTTGCGACAGTTGCATGGCCGGCCTTTCTGTCAGGGTCTTCATGTGCCGTCGCTCAATGTGCATGGTGTCGATAGGGGCATGATAGCCAAGAAGAATTCAGCAGAAGAAGGGCGTCATAAGTCATGCTCTACAATCTCCTTAGATTCACTCACTGGCAACCTTAACCTCTTCTGGTTGGCCTCCGAGCACCAATTTCACTGCGCATGCTTTCCGAACCAGAACCAGTTATGGAAATGCTAATGGTTAGAATTTCTCAAACGGCTGTCACATTCAGAACTACTGGTCGGATCTCACCAACCTCCCATTGACGAACGATGGACCAGTCCGCCCTCCTTTTGCCAGCCATGAGTGCGCTTTGCGACCTGCACGTTTGCCAGCAGAGGACTGAAGGCCCCATAAAGCACCCTCCATCAAGCCCTGTGCACAGCTCGTTATCCTCCCAACAGCAATCCCTACCTTTCCGCCACCCCAAGAAGAAAATTAGAATTACTGCAATCCTCGGCTGCTACACTCACAACATATGCAAAAATATGGACGTCACTCCGTGAAAGCGGGCCTCGTATTACATTTACTCCTTACTCAAAAGGATACAGCGGAACATCGAGATTGATGCCGCGCTCGTTACAGTCACCCTATACCAACCACTCAAGGCGGCATCAGGCAGTTGTTCTATCTAGGCGTAATTCTGTTAAAGTGATTGCTTTAACAACGACCTTCCGGCTGAGATAAGGTCTTTGTCTCAGTCATGGCTCTATACTGTGTGTTCGAAGATCTGTAAGAAGTCACTCCTTGTTTTTGTTTTACCTCAGTGGTTGACGTCTCATTTGGCATTGGCTTTGCCGCAACGAGTGGTGAGTCCCTTCTGGCAATACTCATTACGATGAGCGAGCTTTCCCATCGCTTCCACAAAGGACTGTTCTAGTTAGTGAGCATTATCAAATAGTCCGAGCTACGAGCCAAGTTATCTTTTTGTGACTGAGAACAATGGCTCTCACACTAGTCATTAAAAAGACGTAAGATGAACAATTCTCCAGTTTCACAAGGCTGTGACAAAGACCCATTGCCTGAATTTCTCTGGTAAGTATTTACAATGTTGGCAAACAATTAATCGTCAGGAATACAATGCACCTTTATTCGCAAAATACATTTATGCTTCTCCAGTCCATGATCTGACTTCCCAACCCAAAAACTTCAGCATGGCAAGAACCATCATTATGGGCCGAGGGAGAGTTCCTTGCATGACTACTGTTGAGCAGTACACGTGTGGATGCATGGGCAACAAGACGATTGAGGAACGCCAACGAGACTGTCCCAACTGTCAAAAGATCACCGATGCGGCGCAACAAGATGCCTTCTGCCTGCCGCCTGTCACGCAAATTGACATTCCGATCAAATGCAAAAAGTGCGAGCGTTCCACCGAGGAAGGTAAGGCCAGTCCCGAGAACTCAACCGTCCCTCAACCAGAACAAGACGGCTCAAAGACCGCCGAGGGTAAGTCAGCCGGTGGCAGCGAGATCCCACAGCAGCAGCAAGCCCCTTGTACTGCACGCTTAACCCGCTTCATCTGTGGCTGTGAGAAAGGCCCCTCTGTCGATCGCAAACCGCTTTGTCCAAGATGTCACCACATCTCTCGAGCAGCGAGACAAGATGGAAGCTGTCGTCCGTGGCTCACCGTGTCCCAGGTGCAGCGAATCTGCGACGTCTGCATGCTTCATATTGAGCAACGTGTTAGTCAGCCGCCACAATGTCTCACCACCATCAAAAAACGCCGGTAGCGGCTGTACGAACCGTTGATTTGACGATGAAGGACGGCTCTGACAGGGTCAGAAGACGAGTTGATCCTACTGAACGATGAAATGCCACTTATGTGACTACGGCCAGTCGTCCATTTTACGTCTAGCCAAAGTCTGGATTTCGGACTCTGGCGTTGAGTCTAGGTAAGTCTGCGGTCTTCAAGTTTTGTGCTTTCATAGATATTGCTATCGGTACTCTCTTTGAGACCCTCATAATAAATTAGGTGACCTAACCACAACATACTTCTTTACCAATAGTGCGGCTGTGCGTCAGGTGTGTGTCTGTGCTGGTTAGGTAGACTGCCGACCCCCTATTCCGAGCTTCGAAATCTCGGTTCCGTTGGCCACAAGTCCTGGCCGGTCCCATGCCCAATCAAGAGTTCCCCTGATCACACACTGCTCGGACTCTCTAGTTATCGTCTCTGGTAGTACGCAGGTATGAAAAACATTGCATGAGACGAGTTTGGCCGCCGTGCATAGATCGGTTTTATTATGGTTCGTAGAATAATATAACAGCAAATTATACTTAACCGCTAAGGTACGTCTCCAAGTTCCTCAGCAGGACTAGCTACTAACACAGCTGCCTTGAACTGGCCGAGATCAGGCAATGCACACTACGGCAGCAGCTCATCACAGCAGATACACGGGCCTAAAACTGTGGCCTCGATTACAAGCGCGTCGTTTATATGAACTGAACCAGGCCTAATCTCCTAATCTCCTAATCTCCTCCAAGCGCAGGGCACCAGCTACTACTGCAGGCTTACCCCTCACGACATGACACGCTGTTCCACTCAATCCTCCGGGCCTCCACCCATATTGCAAAATGTCAATTCTTTGCGTCTGAACTGAATTCCCACCCATGATAACCGTTAAATGTCATGTACTGCACGGCTGATCACATCATCTCTGCGTCACGCCTCCTATCACGTACGCCACGCTGTCTCTAATCCAGGAAAGACAGGCAACGCAATCAAACAGTCCACTTGTGTCTCACCATGTTTGGGCAAGGGAGGCCAAACCGACAAACCACAGCAGGGTCTGGGTACTCGAGCTCCTAACCATGTCCAGAGGCTGACAATCTCACGCAGACACCGGACAGCAACGCGAGACGAAACGAGACGAGACGGGGGCAGACTTATGCAGGAATAGCAGATGCACTGCAAGATGGCCGTTGAGAAAGCTTGAAAACCCCACCACGCCACAAGGATGTTGGTGATGAACATGCTTGCGAGCCTGCCAAGTGACCGAAACTCGGATTTTGAGTTGCGTAGTGGCTTGTGTGATATCGAAATTTCGGTGGCGTGGCGCTCTCCGAACTTGACCGTGCAACGACAACCCGAGAATTCCAATGGACACGTCTCAAGGTGGGGAAGCAGCCGGCGTTTTGACTCGAAGCACACAATCCACTCTCTTCCTAGGAAGTAGTTCGAGAACCAGGTAAGAAGTGGCAAAAGCAAGACTTACGTAGTAGCTTGCGAAAGCTACTCGGGTGGATGGGTGGATGGGATTCGTCGCTAATCCAACAGAATACCTAAGAACCAAGATTCGAAGGGCGACTAGCTTGTTCCTCGATCGATCAACCGATCCCTAAGCCATCCTCGTCTTTCCGCAGTTCCCTACTCCGTACGCTTCCTCTTGCCCAGAACACAACCATGCCCTAGCTGCGCGTTTCTTGTCTGTCGGATCAATACCGGGCTGCCGTGTTCTCCTAATACAAAAGCGGATAAGAATCCGAAGACGTGATAAGGTCCACTCGACAATCACGCTTGTGACTGGCGGAAGTGTCGATCTGCTGTCAACCACAATTAGAAAGATGGGTGCTTCAGTGCGGCTACTTGTTGACAATAAGCAAGCATGGAGGAGACGCCATTTTTTGAACCAGCTGATTTGCTCCTTTTTCTACCCCCGCGGAATGTCTGAGGGAGCCAAGTGGCACCACGTTCGATGGCATGTTGCATGGTCGCGAAAATAATGCCAGCACCTGAGATTTCATGGAGTATGCGTGATTGAAGGTCCGATTTATCTGACTAGCGATCTGGTTTTCTTCGAGACCTGAGACACAACTGGCTAGAACGAACCCAAGATTCGCAGTTGATGCGACACCGTTCGTCGCATCGAGCGTGAAAGATCTTATCAGCCTGGTCAGTTGGGGATCTCCGTCCATTTTGCCCGCCCAGATTAGAACTGTGCACCGGCAAGCCGTATGGCAATTGACTTGGCTGACCAGCACTGAGTCACTGTTTGGTCTGCCTCGAGTCATTGGCGACTTTGACGGCTATCCCAGGTCTACTGGTGAAAAGAAGTTTAGCTCCTGATGGTCATGGTGTCTAGCTTTGCTATCGTTGCATTCTTGAGCATGGCAAGCTAGTATATAAATTAGCACTAGCATGCAAACTGTCATTTGGCTATTTTCTCTATTGACGAGGCGCTGCAGTAGCTATGCAGTATCTGTCTGACCTGTTGGGGTACGTGCACCATCATCTATGCCGCGTCCTGTGGATAGATCCTGACCACCCGCAGCTGTCAATACGTTATCAAGGATCCCATGGTCACCACTAGGTGCATATGCTCCTACAACATCATTCTGACGTATGAGGCTCATGCTGCTTATCTCAACTCAGATCCAGCGATTTTTCTATTGAATTAGTCAAACGCACGACCTTGTTCGAGATACCATCTACAGCCTACGCTCTGGACACCCATCCATGCAACAGCCATATATCGCTGCCTTTTGCTTCAATGATCAACAAGTCCTCCAATGCATAATGCAAAGCACATGGCGGAAGACCGGAAGAGGCGCGATCAAAGCCCACCTCCAGGCTCGACCACTACTTGTTTGCTTTTTCTGAAACTGAGCCGCGGCTCACAACAACGACCTTTAAAAACCAAAAATATCTTCTCAGAAACGTCAGGGGATCTGCTGCAGGGAACAAGACTATCGTCGTTTGTGGCACCAACTAGAACCCGGATGAATCAACCCATCCAATCTCCGTCGGCGGGCAGAGCATACGTATGCAAATAGCAAACGCCCAGACTTCACCGACTTTTGATTGGTGGCCTTTCAAGCACCAAGTCTAACGAGCAACATAGTTCAGAGCGTTGATGAACGATCTGTATCAAAGTAATGACAGCTAGAAAGATGCATTACGCCAGGGTTGAGCCTTACAATACCGTACCCGTCGACGTATGTCAGTCAGCTAGTTAGTAGGACCAATATCATGGCCGACTTGGTTCCTAAAAGACCATGAATATCTCTTCACAGTGGAGCAGACGGGCCGCTCATGGAATTCGAATGCCTAGATTGCATTCTGGTGACCTAGAGGAAAACCAGGTTTCCATCAAGTGCTCGCCTGAGTCTGCGCATTGAGGAGATGATGCTGGGCAGCCAACCCACCGGCCAGGTCGATATTTTGCCAGCTGAAGATGACGCGCCTTTCTACACCTGTGTTTGTGCGATAATTGAGACTTCATCTCTGAACGTGGAGTCCGGACCTTGCTACCAAGCGCACTGCATATCTGTTGTGAATCTTCGGAACGTGAAATCGTCGTCCCGAATCGATCTTGGGGCGATGATAGTCGTGGTGGTTTCTTGAAGAATGGTATCTGGACTCTTATCCGAGCATGCAGATATCTACGACCGCAGCCCAAAAATTCGGTGTGTGATGGTTCTTCAGTGGTTAATGCTCCTCAAGCATATTAGAGCGGAATTGTTTGGTTCTCAAATTCAGCTATGGAAATCAACTGGTCTAGTTCCTCATCCTCATCACTTCTGATGCCTCAAGCTCTCCCTCACTCTTGCCTTGTCCTTCGTAGCTGGCCATTCGGTCAGCCCACAATCAGCTTTACTTACCTAGCTACCTTTGCTCCAGATCGCCGGCACCCGGCTCGGATCGTTAAGATGCCCAATCTTTCCCGTGAACGGGAGCGGGAGACTAGGCAAGACGTTTATTGAGAGTTCCATCTTGGCAAAGGTATGTGTCTCAGCGCCCCAGTAATTAACTGGTATCTGCCGATAAGTCCATATCCCATGTTCCAGTACACCAGCAGATATGGTTGCTTACAGCACACCAAACTCCCACCCCTTCGCTTCTCGCTTGATCAGCATCAGGAGCAGCATTTATCTCTATCATGCTCAACGACCGGGGGAAAGTCGCAGATTCATTTTTGTTGTTGCGCTTTACTTTTGCATGAGAAAGAAAATTTCCCCTTTTGCCTAGATCTCGGACTCGGACTCGGACCCGGACCCGGACCCTGGAGATCGAGCGGAGCGGTACTGGTAGCTGGCCTGGGAGTTTGGAGTTGTTAAAAAATATTTGATCTCTGTGCGTCTTTGATGCCCCTTATCGGCGTGGAGATGTTGGTAGGTAGTAGCATATTCGAAGGGATATTGCGTGAGTGGATGGGATGGGTAGGAGAGGAGAATGGACGGTGGGGGGAATAGGTGGATAGGAACGCTGGAGAAACGCGGCGGCGATGCGGCAATGGAGCAACGCCGTGGAAGGAAGGAGGAAGCGGAGGCAGGCACTACAGCATTTATGGAAGACCGAGAATGAACTTTCCACCACCACAGCAGCAGCAGCAGCAGCGGCAGCCAGTCCTCCCCCCCCCCCCCC